TTGATGATGACGAATTTCTCAGTGTTGAAACTGGAAATAAACTATGAGGCTAGAAGAGCAATCCCAAAAGTAATCACCAGAAAAATAAATCTGTGGTTCTAGGATTACAACTGCAGGGGCCATACCCTAGTGAAATAGTATTGTACAACAAGCCTTCCGTAACTTGTGACTGATGGAAGGAAAAGAACATTGGAGAACAAGCAAGCTTTACTTTGAATGCCTTTTTAAAACAACCTATACCATCTGACGGGCCTGGGGAAGGAAGGCACGCCCTCTGATGGCCTGAGGAAGAGATGTACACCCTCTGGCGGGCCTGAGGAAGGGAAACACGCCCTCTGAGGGGCCTGAGGAAGGGATGCTGACCTTGTCTCTCCTGTGATAATGATGATGGATTTCCCAGTAAGCTGTTTCTAATAACTCTTTTAAGTCCACAAAGAGAAACTGCGCTGGAAATGAACCAAAAGACAGGTTGTAGTCAGTAGATACTAGGGACACTCTACTTTGAATCCCATCATAATACACCAATTTTTTTCTTAGAGTAGTTTTTTTAAAAAGCCTCAAAATGGCCGTTTCTAATCAAACTTGAGAGGTTTTTTTGTTGAACCTTATTTTTTTTAATTATGCGATACAGTTCTAGGAAGAACCCTGAATTCTAAGCTAGAAGTCCAAATCAAATGACATTAGGAACTAGATTATCAACAGACTGGAGTAGTTTCTGTTCCTCAGGCTCAGACTGCTTTTATTACAAGGTGCTGAGCCAATCAAAATCCACACAGAGCCTTCGAAACCGCTGCCTAGCTTGCCTCAGTGATCTCTAAACCCAGAAACCCTTCAGGGGCCTCACTCCTGAAAAGAAAAGTTAATACAGCACAGGCTTACTATTCCTCAGAACGACCCTTGAAATATTCCCATCTCACCTATACTGTTCAATCTTGCTTGTCAGTCTGGTCAGATGAACTAAAGACACAGCTACGGGCATATGTGCGAGAGTGTTTCCTCCAAGTATTAACTGATAGGGGGAAGACAGTCCCCAGAGAGGACAGTACTTCCAACAGCAGCAGCCTAGATAGAAAGAGGTTGGCTAGCCGGGGATGGGGAGAAGTGGGGTACTGCTGATTTTGCTTACCTGGTTTTGGTCCTTAGTGCTAGGTACATCTACACTGTCGCTGCTGTTCTTCACTGCTGACGATAGCTTCTCCGATCTTCCAGAGAAGGCTGGAGCTAGCAGCTCTCCAGAACCCTCCAAGTTATTAATACCAGAACGGCAGAGCTGGGGCAGCCAGTCTCATAGACTCAGCAGCCACAGGGTTCTTAGCCTCTCCGGCATGCACAGGGCCATTGTCGAACTACCCGGACTGTATTGTAATAGGCATTCATTCCGTTGGTTCTGTTCCTCTAAAGATCTCTCACTGATACTCCTCCCTGTCCAAAGACTTTCTGGGTAGCAATGGAGCTGTATTCTTGATCTTAGAGTCATAAATAATTAACTCATAATTTCCCACAGTGACTGACCTATATGACTAACTGGCAAGCCACCTCCCCACCCAGCCCCCCAAACTCAAATGGTTTCAACAGGGAGACTAGACCCCACTATTGAGTTTATTCCTTTTATCAGTAGCATCCCTGTGAACAAAGAGATATTTGTTTACTTAGGAAAATCATCACTGTGTCCGGACAATAAAGTCTCAGAGACTTGCAGTCCCCATCAAAGTTCTCACACATTTTACATCAAAGCTTAAAAATCTCACAGTTTTTAGTGATCCTTCTCCAGGTCAGTAAATACATTATTTTCCTCTTTGCATCTCATTCAAAGCAGCCTCAGGAACTGATTCAATGTGTTTACTGCAGCCAGGTCCTTGCAGGGGTCAGAAGTCTCATGAGCATCTTTTCAGCTCTCACAAGAAGTAAGAGACATGAGTCAAGAACAGAGGGTTCTTCTTGTTCCCAAAAAACAACACCGGCCAAATCACCCAGAGCCTGCAGCTAGAAAGCAGCTCAGAGAATTCTCTGGGCTTGCAGGTCCCTACTTCTGAACTTTTTTTTTTTTTTTTTTTTTTTGGTTTTTCGAGACAGGGTTTCTCTGTGGTTTTGGAGCCTGTCCTGGAACTAGCTCTTGTAGACCAGGCTGGTCTCGAACTCACAGAGATCCGCCTGCCTCTGCCTCCCGAGTGCTGGGATTAAAGGCGTACAACACTACCGCCCGGCTGAACTTTATTTACTGTTATCTCTATTCTATAATATGATGAGAAATAGCTCTCAGTAGCCTTTTCTTTGAGATGTGAACAGCCTCCACTAACATCAACGGCTTTTACAAAACCCTCCCTTGGTAAAACTTCCGAATTCCTCTAAACCCTTCATTCTGTTTGCCCACCAATGGAGCAATCAAGCTTTCCGTGTCTTTACTCAAGAACGTGAAGAATGGAAGACACTGTCGGTGAGTGCGTGCTTCCCTGAGCAAGTGGTTCATGAAAGAAGAAAGAGGGGAAGAAAAGGAGGGAGGAGGAAAAGACACAGAGGGAAAACATAAAGCTAGACCTACAGCTTAATACAGACTGCAGCTGAACCAGTGGCCAGCGCTTGTCCAAACAACCTAAAAAGCAGTAGCTGTAGCCACAGGATTGTAGGATTCCCTTAAGAGCTCATTCAAGAAGTGATTATGTCTGCAAGTTTGTTCTGCCTTAAGAAATTCATTAGCAAATACGCCAGACATTTTTTTCAACTAACGAACTAATATCTTAAAGATTATCCCCTCTTTCCCTCAAACCTATACACTCCCTGATTTATTTCTGGATTCTTCTACCCTGTTATCTTTGCTAACTGTTCTGTCAGACTGTCTTCCTGAAATGTTACTCCTAGATTAGATTTAAAATTAGTATTGTAATCCAATCATCAATTTAGCATCAATTCACCTGGAATTGGGGCTGGCAATCTATGCTGATGGCCCTTAAGCTAAGGGCTACAACTCAACATAAATTATTTGAAAGAACATTTCAGCCCCACCTGCAACGATTTGCCCATTCCGGAGTCTGTGAATATAAGAGCATATTCTGATAGCAGCCATGCTTTGGAAGCAGTCCATAATTTTGAATTCAAATTGCCTTCCAAAAATGGTTTAAGATAATGGCTTTCAACTGATCCCCTGACGTCTGGCGACGCCCATTCTGGAAGGTGATCATTCTACAGGTTGAGTGGCATTTACACTTTTTGCTCTGGATCTTACATTTTGCTATCTGTGATATCCTGAATCCGAATTTCCTACCAGTTTCTATCTGATATCTTCTGGGTCACTCTCTTCATTTTCTTGTACAGTCAAAATTTTCAATTTTCCTTACTTGATTCAATTTAAATTTTGATGCTCAGGCTTTTCTGGCGTTTTGATTTTGTTCTCCCTCTTACACATTTTCGTATCGGCTCATGCATTCGCCTTTGGTTGCTTCCAGTATTGAGGAATTATTTGTCTTACATTTCCCCTACTTGATCTCAGTCTGCAGAAGGCACAGGCTGAAGAGACTCTTCACACAGGTGCATGTTCAGCTCATGTAAATGACTAGACCCAAACTGTGATGGGCCTGCCGTCACCCGATTCCAGGAAAGTGACGCTGGTGTCAAATAGAGACAGCTAGAATGTGCACACCTTCCAGAAAGTCCCTTAAAGCCACTGCGCCCCATCCTGACTGTAGGCTCACCTGAGGTGTCTTTCTCACAAATGAAGCCTGGACGCGCCACTAGCAACACACGTGATGGAAACGCATCAAGATGGGATGTATTTTTAGCTATAGCAAATTGCCAGCCTTTTATGCATTCAGATCTTCATCTCTGTGAACGAGCTCTCCTGTTCTTATGGTTTTTCCAGAGTGCAGTGAGATTGATTTTTTTTTTAATGAGGAAAGATAATCTTTAAAACAAGAAGCGTTTCTCCCTTAATCTCTATGCCAGCTCAGGGGTTCAGCCTTTCCCGGGCAGTGTGTTGCTTTTTCTAATGATAGCAATGGACCTCTATACTTCCGTAATGACAGTGTAGACTCAAACTCCGGCAAGGGAAACTTGGTCCAAAGAGAAAAAGACAAAATTTGGCCAAGACATTCGTCAGAGATATCATGTTCTATAATAATACAATTGGTTAACAGGCTACGCTTGGGCTAGTAAGATAAAGGCACTTGCCACCCAGCCTGATGACCTGAGTTCCGTCCCCAGTGCCCACAGGGTGAAGGAAGAGAACCAGTTTCAGAAAATTATCTTCCGACCTCTGTGAGTTCCACCCACCCTCTCAGTTCATGTGAAACAAACACAGAGAGGAAGAGATGGAAAGAGAGCGATAATAATTTTCCCATAATCCAAGCATAGATGCAATTCTGTGTTTTTACTGTGTTCATAAACATGGCCTCCTGAAACAGTGTAACTTACGCACTGTTCTGGCTGGTGGGAGGAGTGGTTCAATGACAAGGTAGGTAACTTCAGGGGACAACAGTCTCAGTCAAGTTGTTGGGATGCAGTGTGAGCACACACGGCAGGCTTTACAAAGAACCTCGTCGCATGGGCAGACAGGCCAGAAAGATGACAGAGGGCCTGGATGTCCTAGGGACAGATGCACTGGGGGCCCAGAAGAGATCATGTCTGAAATACAATCTAATTTTGTTTTTTTAATTGCCTTGTAACACAAACACTAACAACCAAAACCTGATTCTTGGTTAAAAGTAATATGGAGGAAAAAAAATGAGTATTACAAAAGAGAACTAACAAATTTCACATTTACTCAGAGAAATTGTTAAACCTTTCTAGACCAGCCATAGAATTGACCCCAAAGAGTGACAGTGCAAGCAGAACATGGTTATATCCATAAAATGCTTGCCTTCTGCCTCATTTTCCTGAACTTTTCCTTCGCAGTCAAACACCGACATCTAGTTTGAGTTCCTCGTCTGTGGGAGGCAGAGCAATCACTCACTGTCAAATTCCAGACCCGCGTGCCTGTGAATATGTTGTGCTTCATGACAAAAGGAACCTTGGGTTGAGATTAAACATCTTCATCCATTTTTTTTTGGTGCTATAACACAATGCTTGAGATGGAGTCATTTATAAAGAAGAAAGATTTCTTAAAGTTCTGGAGGCTGGGAGCTCAAGAGTTAGAGACTTGAATTTAAAGCTTTTTGGACTTGTTCATTTGGGGGTTATATTTATTTCTTTTGTATTTTGATATAAGGTTTGAGGTAGCCCAGCTGAACCGTGATTCTTTATGTATCCCAGTAGCCCAGGTTGGCCTCAACCCTGTGACCCTTCTGCATCAGCCTCAAGACGACATGCTTGGCCAGGAAGAGGATCTTCTTGTTGAATGATCTGGTGGCCAAAGAGCAAGAAAACGCACATGAGTGAGAAAAGGAATCCAATTCCATGCCTGTGCCAGGAACCCTCTCCCACCATAACCAACCCACTCACCATCCACGAAGGCAGAGTCCTAAAGGCCTCACCACCTCTTAGGGGTCCCGCTTCTCAACTCTGTCCTAGTGGGTGTTAGCTGTCCAATCCACGAACTTTAAAGCTGGTTTTGCCCTGTGATTTAACTCGACCAATATGCATTAGCAAAGATAACAGAAGCTGAACTCTGGCGTACCCTTGTGTGAATGGGCCTAGACTAGCTCAACCACTCAAGTGCAAATCCAGCTGAAGCTAGTCAAATTCCAGGAAGAGGTGTGGTTCATGGGCTATCAGCTGACTGCAAACTCATATGTAGATTCATCTGAGAATAGCAGAAGGTATCACCCAGGTAGCCCCCATCCAAACAGTGAACCCATAGAACAATGGGCTGATCAATACTTGTAAGTCTTTAGAAAAGCCAATTTACATTTAACAGCTCTCGACTGTTGGCAAACAATTGTTGATAATGGTGAGATCAATGATAAAGACGATAAAATCATGATCGTTTCTAGTAAAATAAGATCAGTAGCCCTGTCTCTACTTGCTACTACCAAGGTATGTCAGTGCTTGAGTTGGTTGACATTGGTTGCCAGCTTGACTTAATCTAGAATCGATTAAAAGACTGCTAGGCACTTTTGTGAGGGATTTTCCTGATAAGCTTATCGAATGAAAGAAAGAAGCTTTGGTTTTTTCCCGTTGGCCTTTACTCTTGCTGGCAAGTTCATCTACCCTACTTCTGCTGCTCCTTCACTGATATTAGAACCAGCTTCTTCAGCTTCCAATGTAGACTCTAGACCAGCATCTTCCTAAGAATCCTCCAGATCTTTAGCACCTCATTGGTACTGCTAAGACATTCAGTCTCGTGGACTGAGAAAATATCAGATTCTTAACTTCTCCGCTGTGAGACAGTCATTGTCAGGCTACCCAGATGGTATTGTATAAGCCAATCAAATGCATCCTCTTTGACTATATTAGTTCTGTTCCTCTATAGAACCCTACCTCACTAAATACAATGTTTATAAATTTAGGAGTTTCTTTGTTCTTTTTGTTTAAGTAAAATGGAGAGCATAGAATCTAAAGATTTTAAGCTTGCGAGCCCAGTCTCTGTTACTAACCTAGAACGAATCCAAGACAGACAGCTTTGTGTTAAGCTTTTGCACTAGGAGCTTCTAGTATATAGATCTAACCTTCACTGTGTCAAAAACACAGGCAGGGGCCAGCTTGTAACTGCCCTGTGCCAGTCCTGACGTATACATTAGCCATGTGCATTAATCAGGATTCTCTAGGGTAACAGAACATATAGAATGAATGTGTGTGTGTGTGTATGAATTTATTTATTAAGGGGATTTACTAGAATGACTTACAAGCTATGGTCCAGCTAATCCACCAATGGCTACCTATAAATGGAAGGTACAAAATTCCAGGAGATGTTCAGTCCACTAGGTTTGAAGTCTCACCTGTGCTTCAGTATGTGCCAGAATCCCAAAAAAGTAGGTCCTAATGCCAGTGAAGAAATGGACTTGCTAGCAAGATAAAAGCAAGCAATTTCAGAGCAAAAGCTTCCTTCTTCCACATCTGTATCTAGCCTTCTATCAGAAGGTGTGAGCCAGATTAGAGGTGGGTCTTCCCACCTCAAATGATTCAGATCAGAAGTGGATCTTGCTGCTTTAAATTAAGCAAAATCCCTCATAGGTGGTTTTAGTTAATTCCAGATAAAGTCAAGCTGCCAACCTAAAATAGCCATCACAGTAGGGTTTGGTTAATATCTGTTGGAGACTGTGTCACATGCAAAACCCTCAGCTGAGAACAGCATTCAGGAAAGGCAATGTTCCCAAGAAAGCTGGCCTTAGTTTATTTTTCATTCAACTTATTTTTCATCCAGATCTGTTCCATGCCACCAAAATAAAGCAATCAAAAATGTTGTCCTAGCCGGGCGGTGGTGGCGCACGCCTTTAGTCCCAGCACTCGGGAGGCAGAGACAGGCGGATCTCTGTGAGTTCGAGACCAGCCTGGTCTACAAGAGCTAGTTCCAGGACAGGCTCCAAAACCACAGAGAAACCCTGTCTCGAAAAACCAAAAAAAAAAAAAAATGTTGTCCTTATTCAAATTAAAAATGTATAGCTAATACACTGTGTCTCCATATTTAGCATAAGAAAATGTTAACACACACTTCTTCCAATCTATATTCCTCTTTGAAGAAAAAAAAAAGGTTGGGGACTGAAGGGGAGACAGACCAGAGAAGCATGAATTGGGCAAGGTGACAAACAATGTGCCCTGTTGGCATCCCTGTGCCCAAAGAGGGATACCTGCTGTCACTGTGGCTTGCTTCTCTTTGGTTGGTGAGGGTACGACGTGAAGCAGGCATGCTCCTTGTGACTAATCTGCTGAAATATCACAGACCCAGAACAAGGTAGCGTTTGTCACCTCCAAGCAGAAAAGCAATTATGTAATCACAGAAACCAGCCTTTAAAGGCATCTCCGGCTTTTCACAGGGAAGCTTTCCACCTGGCATAGACGCCCGTTAGCAAGTTAATCTTCCACCTCAACTTGTATCCTTCAGGTGCTGGGGAAGTCATAATCTCCCGAGACAGCCCCAACTATTTTGAGCACTTATCATTTGAGATAAAGTTCTTTTTTTCCTCCTATTAAGTTGAAATCTATCTCCCACCCACTCAGCCAAACCTTGCTTCTAGCATTTGCTCTGGATTTTGCATTTTGCACTATGTTTATAAGCCCAGGTTTTGAAGTCAACTAGACTTGAGTTCAATAGTCGTCAGTCTCCTTTGCTGGTAACATTTATGGACAGGAAGGAAGATTATCAATCATAAAACAGACCATGATACCTGCCTTATCTTTTTCTGTCCTTTGGAGACAGGTTCTTCCTGTGTAGCCCAGGCTGGCCATGAGCTAACAGTGACCCTCCTGCCTATGTCTACCATGTTTTAGGATTAAAGAATGCGCCACCTGGCTCAATACTTGTCTTTTTTTTAATTTTGTATTATTTATTTTTGGCTTATGTACATAGGTGTTTTGCCATGGGTGTCGGGTCTCCTGGAACTGGAATTACAGACAGTTGTGAGCTGCCATGTGGGTGCTGGGAATCAAACCAGGGTCCTCTGGAAGAGCAGTCAGTGCTCTTAACCACTGCGCCATCTCTCCAGCCCCGTCAATACCTGTCTTTTACTGCTATTGTGAAAAGAAGCAGCAGCAGCATTATCAACAATCTTTCTGATATTTAAACAATCTTTTTTCTATTTACCCATTTTTCTCCAGCCTATCATCTCCTTTAATCATATTTCATAACATGGTTTTCAAAATTATCCTGGAGATAGCCCTTATTTGCTGCTCCAGCTCACACTTAGGGTCACGACACCAAGTGCCTTGTATAATTGGTGGTTTACCTGTGGTCAGAAAATGGAAGGGACTTCCTCTGCCTGGTATATCTGGATAGAAACACAGCACCAGGGCTTCTCACAGTGACTGTGTCCTATGCCTGCCTGTCTCTTCCTCAAAAGCCACAGGAAGCATACTTAGAGAGAAGAATGTCATTTTCTTACTTGTCCAGCTCCCCCGCAAAAAAGATTTTTGTTGACACGGCTGGCCTCTTTCCCTATTTTCAAATCAGGATGAAGTGAGTTGCTTACTACTTGGGAAATAGCTACCCACCCAAATTTCTCCACAGAGCAGTTCTCTTTTAGCAAGGTCTTCCATGAAAAGCATGTGGTCTCTGTCCTTTTCTTTCAGTCTGGGCCAACGAAGGTTACTCAACCCATGTGTGCTCACCTTAGCCTGGTAAGGAAAGCGTTAGTGGCACTCTCTTGACAGCCATACTAAGTTACATCCTCCAGGCTCGGCTTAGATCAGTTTGTCCATCTTGTTGGTGGCACCTCTATCTGCTGAGCCATCCCACTGACTTAACTTCAACTTTATTGAAGACTAGGGTGATAATTTGGTTTTCCATTGCATGCATTCTATCCTTCCAAGAGTTGCCCTCTGACCTTTAATGGCATGAGAGAACAACAGACACACGCATGTGCATACACACACACACAAACACACACACATAAAATAAAACCTTTTGGAATGATATAAGTTATATAGTACTAAGAGGTATAAAGCCAAGCTAACATGTCCTAGAACTGCCTCTTGACTAAAAACAGAGTGCCTGTTCCTCGCCCCACAAAAGATGCTACACAATTGTCTACCCTTGAAAGCACAAAACTGGAAACTGGGCCCAAACTGCATAACAAATTCTGAAAAGTCAAGTCATTTCTGCCTAATAAATATAGCAAAATCTCAACCTAGGGGATTCCCAGCACTTTCTCCCGGGCTGCCACTCTCTGAACTGCAGAGAAAAGATAAATACATCCCATAGTCATTTCTCCCAGGTTCTGGCAGCAGTGCCTGGCCACTGATTAGCAATAAATAGGGCTTTCTCAACTCAAAATCCACAGCTTTCTGAAGTAAGACCTTCAGGAGTAAGTGCACACCTACCACAGTTCCTCGTTGAATTTAAAGAGGTAATGAGAACCAAAATATCTTAATGTTGATTTAGTCCTGTAGACAGTTTGACTACGACAGAAGTGTGGCAGGATATTTGATCACACTGTGGGACGATGTCTCTGTCCTCCTCATCCACCCGTGGCACCTTCTGATTGGTTTAAAGAGCAGAACGGCCAATAGCTAGACAGGAGAGGTGGGACTTCCAGGCAGAAAAGGGAACTCTGGGAAGAATCTGAGGCAGGAGATTTGCCAGCAAGACCGGGAGGAAGTTGTATATATAATATGGAGGAGAGGTAAAGAGAATATGGCAGAAAATAAACTAATAAAAATGGGTTAATTTAAATTATAAGATCTAGAAAGCTAGTTGAGAATAAACCTAAGCTAAGGCCCAGCTTTCATACTTTATAAAAAAGTCTCTGTTACTATTCAGGAGCTGGCAGTCCAAAGAAAACTTGGCTAAACAGGAGGGGCAGACTTCCATGTTACTGCATGCCTGCCTCCCAGTCCCATATTTTATTACCCTGTACAACCTTTGGTAAGATATGAGTTGGGAACTAGGATTTATTCTTGGGTCTATTTCATTAGGAGAAAAATAAATACTCAAGAGAAAAAGTCAAACCTTTTTTTTTAAAAAAAAACTGCCATTCTCATAACACTTAGGTATAAAGAAGATGTCGTAATAATACCCATTCCTTCGTATATAAAATCATTTAAAAATAAAAAGTTACTGTTTTCAATTACAAACATATTAAATACATGATGTACTTCAAATGACTGGTGGTTAAAAAAATCCCTTTACAAAATAGATAAAAATAAATGAAAGAAAAACATATAGTTTGGAATAGTCTCTCTCTCTCTCTCTCTCTCTCTCTCTCTCTCTCTCTCTCTCTCTCCCGATTTTTAGGAAGGTAACATAAGAAGGGAATACGTAGGCCTGGTGCTGTACATGGAGTCTGTGGAGAAGGAGCAGAGTCCTGGTGAGGAGGCAGACGGTGTGGCTGGTGAATGAACCCTGCCCAGAGGGAAAGGCTGGAGTAACCCTGTAAAGCTCTTGACTGGTCGGAGGCTGACAAGGAGCTGCTCTGTACTGAGACCTAGTGTGCATGACATCTGGGCTCTAAGAGCAGCAGATCTGAACCAGAGAGAAGGTTTAGGTGGTGGTAACACCGTGAAGGGGACTCCATGCCTCATCCAAAGTCCTGATTGCCACCTTCATATGTGAGCTGCAGTCTCGTGGTCCAGAGTCAGACCAACCTGTCAGCCCAGTGTCTGCGTTAATTAACCCTGTGGGATCTCAGGCTGTGGCTCCTTTCCTTTCTGTGCTCTTCCTTTTTTTTTCTCTTTCTTTTTGTTATTTATTTAGGTTGGGCTGCGCTTTCATAGGCATGTGTCCTCATGAAAATTCCAAAGGTGCACAGCAGTAGGAAGAATGGTGCAGGGAATCCCAGGTACGCAAAACCTCTTTCCAATCGACATCTACGTCTGCTCTCTTCTTCAGCTGCAGGGAAAACAATGCAGGGGATCCCAGGTACCCATTACATCCTTCCGACAGACATCCACACTCAACCTCTTCTTCAGCTGCGGTCTTCCCCTCACTTTCAACTATGCATCAAGCCTTCGGGAGTATCTGGGAATCTCAGTGTGGGACTTCACTAAGGAGGGTCTATAGGTGGGACAGGCTGGGCAAGGGTGCCTGGGTAGGGTCTATAAACAAAAGTGTTGACAGCGCCACTGCACTCAGAGAAACCAGAACTCCAGTCTAGGTCTTGCATTTTAAGGCAAGGGCTTCTGTCCTCCTCTGACCGCTTTCCCATGCCAGCCTGGAGCCTGTGTTTCCCTCAACAGATGCAGGTGCCTGGAACCCAGGAGCTCTCTGCCCAAAGAGTCAGAGACCACTTCCAGAGGCTACTCTGACCCAGGGAATAACAGAGGTGATAAGGCATCTGGCTGAGATGGGAATACAGGCAGAACTCAGGTCTGCAGGGTGAGCGGCACACATTTGCATGAGGTTCCTAGAGGTATTAAAAGGGCAAATACCAAGAAAGGCATAGTCCCCTCCCATAGACCCAAAGCTCCATGGGGAGCAGCACTCTTGGCCCACAGGTCACAAACATTAAGGACAGGCTTTGAGAGGAAGGGGGCATCATGATTTTCTCAATGTTCGTGTGTGTGCATACAATATTCATATGTGTGCAAATGTGAGCGTGTGTGTGAGCACGCACGCACGTGAGACAGAATCTCTCACTGAAATCTTGAACTCACCCATTAGCTAATGTGTCAGGCCAGCAAGCTTCAGGGATTCACCTGTCTCGGCCTCCCCAGCACTGGAATCCCAGCGTGTTGTGCCATGCTTGGCTTTTTAAATGGATTGTGGAGATTTGAACTCAGGTCCTCATATTTGCACAGCAAACACTTTACTGACTGAGCCACTGCCCCAGCTCCTCCTTGTTCTTCATGCAGAGTCACACCATGGCAGTCCCTGTCAAGTAAATCAGCCACTAAGAGTTCTGTAGAGCTAGGCAAGTATCATATGAACCCCCGGACTATGCAGTAAAGGTGATGCCAAAGCCAGTGAATATGTCACCATCGGAGGGACAAGGTTGTCCTCCACTGTGAGTTCAAAGCAGAACAACTTCGTTTATCAGGCTTTAAAGAAAGCCTCTTTGCCCTTCACCCTTTCTCCCACTGCATGCTATTCTCCACTGAGTCCCTCTGAAAAGAAATACATTTCAGTGTGGAAATATTTTCTGTAATTCTGAGACAAGGAGAAATTTATCTGACTTGAAACGACATCGGCAAATGTCCCTGTACCAAGGAGAATTCTAGTTTATTAACCGTCTTCATTTTGAGAAGAAAGTACTGCAGATACAGAGTGTTCTGTCCTGGAATTCAGCCCTTTAAATGGATGCAGAAGGAAGGCAGATGTTACCCATGTTAATAGGCATGCACATACAGAAAAAAAGCACAAGAAAGCAAGTTAGGGAAGCCCGACAGCAGTTGGGAATTTTTTTTTTAATTCCTGGGTGGATAATATGTAGTTTCATTTAAATAAGAACACAGTCTCTATTCATTTAATTTGCCAAAGAAGTCACTGCAACACTCACAGGCAGTGCCTAGGAAGGCATTTTTAGATGCGTCACTGTGGCTTTAAAATTAAAAGTGAATCAGTCCTGTGGAGTTAATTACTAGTAAATTAATCGGAAGTAGGTCTCCCACATGGCCCAGTGCCAGCCAACAGTTCTCAGTGCTAGCCAGAAACGTGGCAAGGTATCAGATCCTCGTTTGCAAATCTTTATGTGTGTGGTGCATTAGAGAGACAGAGAGAGGACTTGTTGGCATCACCCGCGACAGGAAACAAGGACAACGCTTAACTAGAAGGCTTTAGAAAGATGTCCTACTGCACCCCCAAATGGAAAATCCCCATTTCTCTGTGGCCCATTCCACAATGTCTACAGAAAGGAAACATACCTAACTCTTTTCCGAGACCAGTGTAAAGACTTAACCTAGCTCTAAGGAGTAGGAAGCATTTTAGAAAACTTAGAAGTCACTTTGTATCTGTGGTGTTTGGGAACACAGTGTCTTCTGGTACAGTATCATCAAGACAGAGACATAGAGAAAGATACCCAAAGAAAGAAGAAATGGACCCAGGAGAAGCATTATCTAAAATTTAATTAAATATCTGAATACAGGAAGCCGGGAACAGATGAAATCCTCGTGAAATAGCTCATGCACAGAGTTTGGTTAATAACATGACTGCGGATGTATTGTTAGGGACACACATTTATTTTGTTTTCCTCCAAAACTGTCCATTCTCTGTGTCTCCCATAATTATTCAAATGTACAAGTGTTCTTACCATTCTTGGTCCAAGGGTGCAGCCAAGCAGAAGTAAAGCCGTCTTTACTTCTGAATTATGAAGTTCGTTGAGGCTGTTTGGCCCCAGACTCGACGTGGCTAACAGACTTCTCTGTGCTTCTTATTACTGTCTTCCCTGCTTAATTTCATGAGATGATTTCACATGGTTTTGCACATTGAAAATGTATCTAAAAACAAAGATGAAGATGGGAAACCTCGCCTGAGACATTGGAGAGTAGAGTCCCATTTGGAACGTGCCTTTGACACACAACTGAGTGTACCATCCCATCTTCAACAGACATGATGCTGATTTTAAATGGCATGGCAATATCTATGAATAACATAAAACAGTGATACTTCCTAGCGGGTGGCTTGCCTAACCCCTGAAAAGCACAAGTGGCTTTGCAGAGCCAATCTGTAATAGTGTATCATCTTGACCATCAGTTTCACTTAGGAACTGAGGTTCCAAGTGGCAGTTTTCTCATAAACCAGGTCAAGACCAGAACTCTAGGCAGCCACAGGTGTATCTGTGTCTCTTTCCAAATGATGAAGGACCATCCCTTCTGGCGTCTGGAAGAAGCAGAATGTCCTTGTCTCGTGGGTATTGCTTTGGGTACCACATGCCCAATACGTTCTAGCATCTAGGAGCATGCAACGGCAGCTAACATGAGCTATGCAATTATGGCATTAGTGTTTAAGTATATCGTGTGCATTGAGACATCTTAAAGAGAAGGCAGGATTCATTCTCCTTAGCAACCAGTATAGTACAGAATGTTCAAAGCTGCGGTCACACTCAGAGGCGAATAAATTGGTTACAAATGTGGGTAGCAGGAAGTGTGCATGCTTTAGAAAATGTGGAACTACTACCTAAAATAGATAGCCCCCCCTTTTTTGTTTCCAAAATTCCATTTCTGGTTTCAGACCATCCATTAGCAAACTTGAAATTTTTCGATGTAACACCCAACGCTAGCTTTCCACCTTAGAAATGAGTAGAGAGGGGGTGCAAAACAATAAATTTGGTTTGTTTCCTCACTGGCTGAGTGTCTATCTCATTTCATAAGTGACTCAATAATGACCCTTTAAAGAAGAAAGGGCTTGAGGTCTCAATGACAATGCACACGGGGGTACACACCTGTGGTTTCACTCTTTCAGGCCAATATACAAAGACTGTAACAGAAGGAAGCATGGTTAAAATGCTGTCTGCACACACAGTTTCTTCCTCCGTAGTATTCCCTTTGACTCATGCACACACTCATACACTCTAGGCACTCCATATATAAGACGATGGAGGTTGGAAGGGTTGCATGTTTCGAAAGCTATGTTTCCAAAGCAAACTTGAAATAAATTAACTGGTTCTTTTAAAACGTCAGTTTACAAATCCTTGCAGTCTGGGTGCCTGGACGTAAGGGTGCCTCTAAAACACAGGAACAAAGGAGAAAAGTCTGGTGGTAGTGCACGATTACTTTGGGACTCCGTTTAGGGAAAGACCTCGGTTCTGGTATTGCACTGGGAAAGGAAGGCAAACTCTTCCCCCATGGGGATCTTCTCTGGGGCTGGGGGTAGCTTACAAAGAGAGGAGGTGATGCGGCAGATGGCTTAGGAAGCTCCCCAAGGCCAGGTGAGTTACCAGTGCTGGCCAGCCGCCCGGGTGCCCAGCTGCGCCTGGGACATGGCTGGCACCGCGGTGGCGGCCGCGGCGGCTGCAGCTGCATCCCCGACGCCGGGCAGGACCGATCGCACGGATCTGCGGAACTCCTCGTTCCTCCACGTGTAGAGCAGAGGGTTGAGCGCCGACAGGGCGCAGCACAGGAGCCAGCTGGCCGCCTGCACGCCCCAGGGCACCGGCAGCGAGAAGCCGCTGGCCAGGCTCACCCACACCAGCGGCTGCGTGGCCAGCAAGAAGACGCAGCAAAGCAACAGCACCGACAGGCCGCTGAGACGTCGCTGCGCGCGACGCGGCTGCAGCGCGGCCGGCAGGGGCTGGGGCTGCGCGGGGTGCCCGGCGCCACCAGGACCCGGAGCATGTGGGGCGGCAGGGAAGGCGGCAGCGGCGGCGGCACAGCCGGGCAGCTGGTGCAGCAGGTGAAAGTTGAGCACGCTGACCCGCTTGACGCTGACGCGCACTCGGCGCACGATGCCCAGGTAGCAGTGTAGCAGCAGCGCCGTCTGTGCAAGCAGCGCTCCCGCTGCCAGGAGCGCGGGGTAATGAACTTGCGGGGGCTCAGCTCCCGGCTTGGGCGCCCAGGGCGGGAGCAACAGCACCAGACCCAACGCCAGGGCCCAGGACAGCGCCAGCATACCCGCCGTGTGGCGCCGCTGGTAGAGCACCTGGTAGGTAGCAGGTGCCCTGGTGATGAGCAGGTAGCGGTTCAGCGCCACGAGGCAGTGGGACAGGAGAGACACGGTGAGCCCGAGGCCCAACAGCCCTCCCCGGAGCAGGCGGTAGCTGCCCCCGCCACCGTCCCAGACCCCCGGGGGTTCCGCGGAGCCGGTGGGCAGGAGCCCCAGCACCGCCTCCTGTGGCATCCAGAGGGCGCAGACGCTGAGATCCGCGGCGCAGCCGTTAACGATGAAGGCGTTGCTGGTGGTCTGCAGCTTTCGGAAGGACGATACGAGATAGATGACCATGCCGTTGGCCAGCGTGCCCCCTATGGCCAGCCCCGAATACAGGAGAGACACCGGAATCCGCCGGCCGGCCCAGGACTCTTCTTCCTCGCAGAGCAGTAACAGCGATCCCCCGGTGGTGGAGGAGGTGGAAGTGGAGGAGGAGTTGGTCATTCTGGACAACTCTTCACACCTCGCACCCTAGCGTTGGCTTCTCGCAGCGCGGTCCATCCTGACACTTGCCTGCTGGGAGGGCAAAGACACCCCTTCAGCCCTCTGCCACCAGCACAAGGCTGAAGCCGAATAATGGGTTGGGGGAGGGGAGAGGGAACTGAAGGAGAAACGGGGGTGGCAGATGACAGGTGCCTGCCTCAGAAATGTCTCCAGTGACAGAGAAGGTCCGCTTTACACTCAGCAAACAGTAGGGAAGCTCTAAGGTCATACCAACACCAAGAACAATTTCCCCAACCACAGAGAGAGAGAGAGAGAGAGAGAGAGAGAGAGAGAGAGAGAGAGAGAGAGAGAGAGAGAGAGAGAGAGAGAGAGAGAAGAATGTTTGTCCCAGACAGAGCCCCTGTTACCGGGAGAAAGTGGAGATATACTGGCTGGGGAAAAAAATGCCAAGGAGACGTAGTAGAAGGTACCTTGATCTGGGGCCAGTCCTTAGCTGATGATAGCAGGAGAGATGCCAGGAAATCCCTCCTCAGCAGCAGCATCTGTGGTCCAGAAGTCAACAGGAGAAACTGAGCTGGGATCCATGCCAGGAGCAAGCGCCTTGCTTCTCCCAAGCAGCATCCACACACATGGTCCCAGGCAGGAGCCAGCAGCTGTGGGGAGTCTCCTCAGCTGGCAGCAGAATTGGAGAAAGTGAAGTGGTAAAGCTACAAGCCCAGGCGGGTGGGCAGGCAGCTGCCTCGAAGATGCCTGGCTGCAAGAGAAGCTGAGCTGGAGAGGCGCGCACCCTGTGCTCAGAAGCAAGAGCGCTGGCTGATGTGGCAAACCCACTGCGAGAGCTCTCCTGCTCCGTTATCCATCACCCAGGGAGAAGACAGCCTTTCCCTGCTGTCATGAATTATTCAGTAACTTCTAACTGGTAAAAGGGAGAGAAACACCTTGCTCAGAGAATTCTGTTAGTTAGTACCCCTCTCTCTCTCTCTCTCTCTCTCTCTCTCTCTCTCTCTCTCTCTCTCTCCCTCTCTCTCCTCTTCTCCTTTCCTTCTCTTCTTCTTTCCCTTCCTCCCTCCCTCTGTCTGATTTTCCTTTCCTTCTCTTTTAAATGTTAGAGTAAAATTTCATCTCAGTCTGATTCATCCTGGAGGCAAGACATTTTTTTTTTCTCAGAGATAAATATACTCCCGTTTATTTTCAGGGAAAATGACTTTACATTTGAATTGAAATTCACCTCCCCCCATCTGGCAAAGTGGGACATGAGTAATTGCTACAGAAAATATGTGAGCCCTAGCTTAAATCATAACGTCTATTCTTTTCTTCTCACCGCTAGACTCCTCTCCAAAGTTCGGCTTGTGTTTCGGTGAGAGGAAAGGGGTGTGCGGATACAACGGTCAGGCTGTCTAAAGATGGTGTCTATAATACATCTAGATAATGGAATGCCACTTAGCAAGAAAGGGAAATTGTCTGTCAAAACATAAAGAAATTGGAAAGGATCATTAGTAAGCAAAGGGGGGTTCTGAAAAGGTGTACACAACCCCAACTTTATTACATGCTGAAAAAAAGTTAAACTGCAGAGAGAGATCACCAACTGTGGAGGGCTAGGGATGGGGAGGTGGGAGGGGTGAATAAGCATTCAGGGCAGGGGAGATGGAGGGGGCGAATAAACTTGCAGGGCAGGGGAACTACCCTGTATGATACTCTAATGGTGGAACTCTTCATTGCAAATTTGTCCAAATGTACAAAATAATCAACATCCAAAGAACCCACATGTAAATTTTGGACTCATTGAAAACATGCCGGGGTGTTTCATCAGCTGTGACAGCTGAACCAGTCTAGTGGAAGATATTGATAACTGAGAAGATGTGTTTATGCAAGGCATGGGTTGTGTGGGAGCTCCCTTGCCTCTCTTCTCTCTCTCTCTCTCTCTCTCTCTCTCTCTCTCTCTCTCTCTCTCTCTCTCTCTGTAGGTCACCCATACATAGACTGGAGGTTGAAGTTGGATGCCTTCCCTAATCTCTCTCCACCGTATTTTGTGAGACAGGGACTCTCACTGCATCGACATGGTTGAGCTAGGCTGGCTGGCCACTGAGCTCCGGGAGTCACCTGCTCCTACTTCCCCAGAGCTGGGATTACTGGTGTGTGCCACCACACCAGGCTTTGCTTTGAATCTGAACTCAGTCTTGATACTTGTTTGGCAAGCGCTTTACTAACTGAGCCATGTCCCCACTCTGTGCCTTTTATCCCAGTTTGCTATAAAGCTTAAACTAAAGTTTAAAGGCTATTTTTGAATAACGGGTGTTGGGAAAAGCACGTTCCCTCAACACTCTCTAGTATGCCTGGCAAGGACCTCTGAGCTTTGCATGATGTAGAATATCACAGATATTTGCACTAGTGTTCAAATATGCTTCGGTGCAAGTGTTTATTTACATGTGCACATGGGAACTTTCCCCACAAAAGGTATACCAAATGCCCTCCCAACCACTGGCGAAGTTGTTTATTTACAAATTTAACTCAATAGAGAAGAGGAAACACATACAATACAAAAGTGTTGCCTGGAGTTGTAGATGTCCTGGGTTCTAAGAGGGCACCATCAGTTAGCCTTGAAGCTCATCCCTGCCTCGGCAGGACAGAGCTCTCCACTCAGCAATGTCAACGGCCCTTTCATCTGAACTACCTTTGAGTCCCTACACATTTAACTCTTCTCCTTCCTCATTCTGCCACTTGGTATAGATCTCCGATGTGGAACATGGGGTGCAGTCCTGGCTCATAGGTCAGGAACCTTTCCTAGTCTGTCCTTGAGGTCTCCAGAAGGAAAATCAGCTGTACTTCCCCTACTTTTCCTTTTCAAAGCCGATGAAAACCAGTCATGTCGATGACTGCGAAGAATTCCGACGGTGCTAACAAGCACGGCCGAACTGGTCTGAGTAGATCCTGGCTTCCAGTAGAAAGAGCAAAAGCAGAAAGAAAAGAGGCAGTAGTTTGGCCTCACTGGAACCAAGGTCCAGATAACCAGCCTGTTGATAATGAGAGGCATTTGCCCTCATCTTCGTCCACCATCCTTTCTCTGCACTAAAGCCTCGAGTACATCCAACACAGCAGGGCTATCAGGAATCCCTCTGTCAGCTTCAGTTCAAGTATGCCCCTGCAGTTCAAGTGCCATGTCTTGCCTTAGTCCTAAAGGAATTCTGTGTTTGAACTCCAGGTTCTGGGTCTCTGCTGTTCTCTGTAACAAGCAGTAAGGACCAATCTGAGGGATTGCTTGTCATGAAAGCATACTTACTTCCAAAGACATACTCCTTTATTTGGTACAGGCCTGATAGGCCAACGTCTTGTCTGGCTTTTCATTTAGTTTCATTTCTGTTTTAGGTTATTGGACTTAAGCAAGAAAGGTAGGAGGGGTGTTTTTCTTATTTGTGACAGAACTTGGCATGGCATAGGACAGATACTTCATAAATGCTTTTTGGGTTCATGAATGAGTGACAACATGATTTTACTTATTTTTTTCTTTGGAAAATAGGCTATGATTTATTATTATTATTATTATTACTATTAATTACTATTAGCATTATTATTGTCACTTTCCTAGTGCCTGCAGAGGAGCTCAGTCCATCCATCTCCCTTCCTGCTGTGTTCTCAGCCTCTCTCCTGCACTGGTTGCACCCCTGTGGACTCATAAGGCTGCTCGACTTCACCACAGCCGCCTGAAGTCTCCTTGGATTTCACTTCCTTCCCAGGGTGGCTCCACACAGCTCACTTCCGGTTTGGTGTAGCCGTGCTTCTACTTCCTGTTCTCCAGCTGAATGTCCTCCCACCCTGCCTTTGGTTCTCCCTACAGCTTCAGCTCAGGTCAACAGCAGCCTCTAATTAGTAAATTAGAGGGTTCTACTCCACCCCCCCACCCACCCAAGAACACTCATCCTCCACCCATTTCTCTCTGGGCTGCTCTTTACTTGCCTAGGCTGCCTCGGACTCGCCCACAATACTCAGGTGCCATGGGTTCCTTAGTTAGCCTTCCGGATGCTCTGTTCCTGGGTCTCTTCTCACGCTTTCCTCTCCCTGATTAGCCTGGTCTTACCCTAGGCTCTCACTCTTCCCCAAAAGCCACCCTGATTCTGCTCTACAGCCTTCCTTCTACCCAGACCTTCTAGCTAAACTCCCTCTTCAGTCTGTGTTCTGCCTTGTCGCCGTCTCTTTCATGGATACCCTCGAAGTTCCCAAGAATTCACACAAATATGGCCTTAGTTGTCATTTCCTGACATGTCACCTTAGAGTCAAGAACATTTATGTTCAAACGTACTGAGAGTTTTTTATATGAAATGATGCTTTTTCTCCTGTAAGTGTTGATAGAAGGGTTTTACTTAATATATTTTATATTAAGTAGTTTATATGTTCATATTTCAGTTTTATATTTTCATTTATTGGTATCAGGGTGATGATAAAATCATAACTTAAAGGTGGCTTTTTTTCTTTTTGTATAGCTTTGGTATAAAATGTAAAACTGATCATTTTCTTTGATGCTTTTTACTATAATTTTAATCACTCTTAAAGTTAGTCTATTTAAGTATTACCTTTTTTCCTAAGAAAATTTTATTATGTATATTTTTAATTTATATTATTAAATTTTATTTTTATTTTTAAATTTAAAAATTTATTTTCTACTTCCATTGACATTTTGTCATTATATTGCATAAATTTTAAGTGTCAGCTGTGTGTGTGTGTGTGTGTGTGTGTGTGTGTGTGCGTGTGTTCATGTCTGTGGAGGCCAGAGGTTAATGCCAGGTATGTCAGGAAAAGTATCAGCTCAGGACCCCCAAGACCAAGTTCTCAGCACAAAGGAGATTTATTTCCCCCAGATGGACAAAGAGCAGAAAAGAGACAAAGATGAGAGACAGGGGACAAGGGACGGGGGAAGGAATGTTTGTACCAGGGACGGCGGGGAATGACAAGCAACTGCCTCTGGATAAGGAGGAGACAGACATGGCATATAGGAAAATGGCAGTTTATAAAGGTACAGTGGAAAATCCCATGTTCGGATGAGGGTTTCATTTTCATTGGGCATGTTAGTTAGTTAGTTAGTTAGTTAGTTAGTTAGTTAGTTAGTTAGTTAAGGCAGCCAAAGGGGGCTTTTGATTGCTGGACTTCAATGCTTTGATATCTGGAACTTGGTATTCAGTCTCAAGAGGATGGATTGGTCAGACAAGGGATGGACCTTGGGGCCTAGCTTCAGGAAGATGATCTAATGCTTTTTTAACAAGGCAGATGGAACTGGGGAGAAGGGCAAGGCCTGCCAGAGCCATGCTTGCCAGGTTTGGGCTGGCTAGAACCCCACCAAGATGTCTTCCTCTGTTGTTCTCCATGTTACTTTTAGACAAGGTCTCTCGGTGAATACGGAGCCCACTCATTTGGATAGACTGGGTGGCTGGTGAGCCTCAGGGATCCTCGGTTTCCACCTCCCCAGCACTAAGATCATCAGCATGTGCTGTTACACAGGGGTCCCATGCTTGTATGGCATGTATTACCAACCAAGCCGTCTCCCCAGCTCACATCAGGCTTCTTGTGTTGTCAAGGGCAGTACGGTGACAGTGAAGTACATCTCTACCTATTTGTTCAGCTACTTATTTGCCCAATAAATAAATGCACACACACACACACACACACACACACACACACACATTTCTCTTAGGTACTGGGCAGTGAAAGTATGAAGATAACTAAGATCCATTCCTGGTCCTTGGTGAGATCAGTCTACAGTGGCAGGCTTGCAGATAAGAAAAAACTATTGTAAGACAAAGTACTAAAGACTATAACAAAACCATAAATAAGTGGGCATGAGACCAGCCACAGAAAAATGAATGTCATTGTGTCTAAGGTCAGGGAATCCTTTGTATAGGAAAAATGAAGAAACTGGGCTGAATTTTGAGGGTTGAGCG